ATTCCGCTCTCAAAAGAGGAATGCAGTGTAGACATACCCTTAAGTGGTAATAGCTAATATAGTCCCCATCATTGATGTACATGTATTTGGGATTGTTTCCAAAATTAATTACTCTGCATTTATCAAAACTGAATTTCATCTGCCATTTCCACAGCCCAGTATTATGAGATCCTTTTGAAGCTCTTTGCAGTCTGCTTTGGATTTAACTATCTTCAGCAATTGTGTATCACCTGCAAATTTTAACACCTCACTACTTATCCATTTTTTCAGATCATTTATGAGTATGTTAAATAGGACTAGTCCCAGGACAGACCCTGGGGGACACCACTTTACCTCTCTACTGTTCATTTCCTAATTTTTAATCAGTTACCAGCCCATGAGAGGACCTTCCCTCCTATCTCCATAGAAGCTTACTTAACATAAGAGCTTTTGGTGAGGGATCTTGTCAAAGACTTTCTGGAAATCTAAGTACACTATTATCCTCTTATCCACATGCTTCTGAAACCCTTCCGAGAATTCTAGTCGATTAGCGAGGCATGATTTCCCTTTACAGAAACCATGTTGACTCTTCCCCAACAAATTATGTTCATCTATGTATCTGTCAATTCTGCTCTTTACTATAATTTCACCCAGGTTGCCTAGTGCTGAAGTTATTTTTACCGGCTTTAAAGCTATCCAGTTGTCCATAATAAATAAATAAAAATATATTTTAGTTCATTAGTTTCTTACAAACTTGAAGAAGTTTCAGACTTAATAACAAATACTTAGACGTCAGTAGATTTATCTTTTTGGGGCATTTCTGTGGAATTCCAGATGCAATTGGGTTGTTCGTTTTGGAACTGGCAGCTGACTATACCATGCTTGTGGCTGGTTGGGATTTTCCATTATTTGTGAGAAATCAGAAGCATTTTTATTTGTTTGTAAGTTCACAGCAAATTCCTTACCACATTTCCAAACCAATTTCTAGATTAGCATTTGTGCAATAATTAGTGTTCTCCATATCCGCCTCTCCTTTTCACATAAATATACTATATGTTGAAATCTTAATGCCGCCCTCACCCAATAGGGAAATTACATGTGCCGTAAGTCTTCCCCCTCAGCCCAATTAATGAATCAAAATGTGTATTTTGCATTATAAGCTGGTACTTTTTCTAACTAGGACTCAAAATGATTAACTATATAAGAGTGAGTTAAATTTCAGGCCCTTGTCTATTAGCAATCCCTAAGCATTGCTCATTAATGCACCTCTGATTTTAATCCAATGGACATGCAGCAACTCTGTGCACTACAGCAGGATTGTCTGCTATATGGAGCCATTTTGATTCATAAACCCCCTATAGCAAGAAATCAACTATTTTTATCAGAGTTCAGGTTGAATCTTTCTAGTCCTGCATCCTCAGGACCTGACCTGTGCCAAATGAACCAGAGGAGGTCAATATCGTCTAGCAGCATTGTTTGCTGAGCTCTTAGAGACATTTAGGAGTAAATTAGAGCTAAACAACAGCATAGAACACTGAAAGCCAGGCTGGTAGCTGTAAACAAACTTAAGGGAACCACGGGAAACTTGGCCATAACTATGATAAATGGATATCCAGCTCACTAAAATTGTGCCCTACCATGGATGTTTCTGGAGCACAGAGAGCTGAACTAGAGAGGTTCAACCTGTAGAGTGAGATATTCATGTTAGAAAAGTTTTGTCCTGCCATGAGCATGAAGTGTATTTATCCGGATCAACAGAAAGACATAAGAATTTAACTTCAGTATATGTCATTATTAAGAAGGGCCTCTAATGATCTTCACAATTTCATAGTATGTTTTTATCTTGTTTGGTTTTCCCTCAACAAATACACTGAGGTCTCAAACAATGTAAACCAGGGTTGGAGTTCCCAGTTCTTGGTGAATTATAATTGTAGGAACCTGCTACTCTTTCTGAAAAAACATTTTTCAGTATAGAATTTAGCTTTACACAGTTCCAACAGTATGATTTATACACAAAACGAATTTGTACAGGAAACTACAAAGACTTAATTATCTTTCACTGGCAATGGGATTTTGAGGTCATCAAAACACTTGATCCCACAAACTAAGGACCAGATTCTCTTTTCACATTCATGCAATTTCTTTTAAGCCAATGAGTTTGCTTTGACACTTGCACTGAGTTTGTATTGAGGAACTAAAGGAACCTATAAGGATTACATTCAGTATAGAAATGAAGAGTTAAAACATGTTGCATTTTGATACCCTTTTATAGTGTTCTTTCAAGGGACAAAAACACATGATATTTATATTTATTTACAGATTCTCTGTAGTTTAGGAAATGGTGAGAAAAATACTACAATAAAATTGACTTATTAATTATGTAAGGAGTCGAGGAGCCCTTCAAAAGAACGTTCAAACATATTTTCTTACATCAAGAACTTTCCTTAAGACCTCATTTCCCTGAATCAAAAGTGCATGGTACATTGGCTTTTGTCACCAATTCAACAACACAAGGTAAGAGCCTGTCCTGAAGTGAAGTAAAGCAGCATCCCTAATTATCAAGCATAAGGGGAAGAAATACAAATACAACCTGTTGTTCTATTTTTATCTTACTTTAGACTCTTCTGTTAGCTTAGGGCCAGCCATGAAAGGAAGCTTGTAATCAGGAGGAAGACAGCTGAATTACTGATGAAAAACATCATGAAAGATTATAGCCTTGTGATGAAACATGAGACAAAAATACATAAAATGTATATTTTACATTTCAGTTTGTTCCCACTATGCTGTAAAATTACAGATGAGAATAAATGAGGAGCAAATTTAAGATGCACATGATCAGGACTACAAGTCTCTGCCCAATGTTCAGGTACACAGAGTTAAAAATAAGCTGATTCAGCAGCTGGAGTGGGAGGCCATTATAGAGAAAGCAGAGCCAACTGCAAAATTCTGATCCAAACATAAACTATGTACTTTCGAAAGTTCAGCAGCAAGCTGTTGTTTTGAACCCAGCTCTATTATATACTGGTAGCACTCTTAGGACAGTAAATACCTTTGTGCCATTTCAAGCAACTTGTTTTGTATCTGAAATAACAGTAGTATTGTTTATCCTTTCACTATACATTACAATCTGAATCATCACTAATAGTTGACATTGTCACATCCAATTTATCTGAGTTTTTGATTAGTCTCCTCTACTTGAACTGAACATTTATTTATATGTTCCAGGAAAGCCTCCCAAAAAGTACTCTATAAAATAATCTTGTCATTTTTTCTATTGATGTTTAGACACTGTCAATAGGAATAAAAGAGTCCTGACTAGACCCTGTCTGTTTGCTGGTCTCTGCCTTTGCTTCTCTCCCAGCAGGACAGGGTAATATCTGTGGAGAGGAATGTTTAGATTTTTGTTAATTAGTTGGTAGAAGAGTGTGATGGGTAAGCGGGGACCCATGCGGAGAGCCCCGCATCCCAAACTTTTGCTTCACTCTGAGTTGGCACCGCAGTGAGTGCACGGCCGTACCGGGGGTGTTCGGCGGCTGCTGCTAGCACCTGTGTGGTGGCTATGGGGGCCTCTCAGATGGCCGCCTGGAGGACACATATGCCAGCATCCTTTAACCAGGGCGCCGGCTTTGAAAAGGAGAGAGCCCCATGGAGCAGGAGATGGAGAGGTGGAGAGAGCAGGGATGCCCAAAACAAAAGCTGCTGGGGGACCTGCCAGCGGGAAAGGCGCCGCCAAAGGGGACAATGAAGGAGGAGCTGTGAATGGGGAGTGGCTCTTTTGAGCTCCACAGGAGGGAAGGAAGCAGCCCAGGACAGGGCAGAGAAGGAGCCTGTGGGCCGGTGAGTTGCGGCTTGATCCCACCGGCCAGACAGGAAATTGGTGTTTCTGTCCTTACGGTCCTGGGCTGAGACCTGGAGAGAGGGTGGGCCCAGATCTCCCTACCCTCCCTGCGCGCAGTCATCAGGGATCTCATGAGAGACTGTCGGGGAAAGGGTCTACGCGGCCATGACCGGCGCCTACCCCAGGGTGACTTCTTAACAAAGAGCTAGACAATAAAAGGTTCTTTTTTCCAGGGTAGAGAAGGAGCTTTAAAATATATTAGGAGTTGAAATTTAGCAGCAAAGTACTTAGTCTAAAAATAAATTTAAAAAATAAACTAAGCAGAAAAAATATTAGTTCTTCATGGTTCTTGAGACCAGTTTTTCAAAGGAAGTTCTGCAGACAAAGCCTGATTCAGCATTCCATTACGCCTGTTTTATACTAGTGTAACTGGATTGAAATGCAGTTGATTTGCACAAAATTCTGCACAGAATTTGCACAAAATTCCTCTAGTATCAGAGGTCCCACAGCCATACTCCTAGGTCTCTCTGACAAGCTGTATTTGAGTACACTGCAGCCACTCACATAAAGAAAGTGGGGATTAGGAGTTTTTTACCACACATATATTACACCCTCTTTTAAAAACAGGGCCTCTCTCTAACTCCAAAAATCTAAGTCTTTAGAAATGATTTTGTGTCCCTACTGTATAACTCAAAATGAGTTTTTTATTAAATTGACATTTTGCAGCTCGCTAGTCAGTGATTTAGTCTTGCGTAGTTGAGTGCTTTGTGGAAAAGCAAAGCAAAATATGGCCCAGTTGTCTGGTTTAGAAATAAAGTTTTCTACACATGTGGGCTAATTTATTTAAATGAAAATGTCATAACTAATTGTAGTATTTAGCCTTAGTGAGCATGCATGACAGTCATATTAACACAATAGAAGACAACAGCTCCAAAGGAGCTATTATGATGTACCAGGCCAATAATCCACAAACAGAAAAGAATTTACACAATAGACTGTAATGGTTTCTAAGGAGCCATTATGGTATATCAGGTAAATAAAATATTATTGAAATGTAGCTTTTGCATTTAAACCATTTTCAGAAGATGCATAGGAAGTAACAAATTATAAAATGGTTCATGTTTCCTTGAATACTAAAAGGAATCAGAAGAGGCATTTGAAAAACAAGGAAGCAGTTTCTTACCATTGCAAGAGGAACAATTCCTGCAAATGTTGTTTGGCTGACAAAGATCTCTGAGACCACCAGTTCACTCACTGAATCTTCTCTGGGGTATTCCACCTGCCAGGTAATTTGCTGAGCTCCTGCCAGGCTACTACTATTGTCAATTTCAAAGTCCATCTGCAGGATCTCATAGAAGGAGATGTTTGCACTGGAAAATAAAATGCACATTAAAGTGTAATTTAAAATGATGAAGCAACAAAATGTCAGGAACAAAATAAATTGCAACATTTTTTTTCTTTCCAATAGGAGAACTATCAAATTTAACAAACGACTTAAAGAAGTGTTGTCTGCTCTATTGATTGTAGGGCTGTCAATTGACCTGCGTTAACATCTGTAATTAATGCAGGACAGGATGAACATGTTAATTTTTTAATGTGTTAATTGCAGATATTAATGCTGCACTGCCCCTTTGAAGTGACACTCCAGCGCTTCAAAGGGGCAGCACAAGAGGAGCCAGGGATCAGCTGGAGTCCCCAGCTGATCCCCAGCTCCGCGTTGCAAAGCCCCTTTGAAGTGCTGCTCCAGTGCTTCAAAGGGGCTTGCAATAGCAGAGCCAGGGTTTAGCTGAAGTCCCAATGAAGATCCTAATATGCTGCACCTTAGAAATGCGTACTATCCCCTTTCCATACCAAGTGATTCTAATAGTTGAAACCTCACTGGTCTAAACTTTAGGCTGTTAGCCAGAAATGTCTGCTATGAATATTCATTAGTGTGTCCAGCCTTCTTTGACCATAACTCATTTCCTCATTCTAATAATGTTGGGGTATTCTTATTATGTATATTAATATATTCATTAACAAAATGTATTAGCATATATGTCAATTAGTTACTATAGCAATAGCGTGGGTAAGCATCTGCTCATGTTAGGGTTGCCAGTTTTGGTTGGATATAGTCCTGGAGGTTTTATCACATGACATAATTTTAATTAAAGATTAATCTTTAAATTCCTGGAGACTCCAGGACAATCCTAAAAGGCTGGAAACCCTCGCTCATGTTTCTATCTCAAAACAGCCAAACTAGAATCAACTGACTTTTTGCAGTTTCCCATCAGCATTTTGCAGAATTTCAGCAGAATTTATTATAAAATTATACCATAAGCCATTTTATGATTTAGGGTCACTGTTGATTAATTTGTTTATGTTAAAATGTAATAGGTTTAACTTATGCTAACTGATTAAGCTAATAAAAAACAATGAATAGTCTAGCAGCACCTTAAAGGCTAACAGAACATGTAGATGGTATCATGAGCTTTCATAGGCACAGCCCATTCACGAAAGCTCATGATTCCATCTACATGTCTTTAAGGTGCTGCTAGGTTATTCGTTGTTTTTTAAATTTTTCCAGTACAGACTAACTTGGCTACCCCTCTGAAGCTTTTGATTAAGCTAATGTCATTTTAGTTTGGGCTTGTGGACTTCTTGTATTGCTGTCTGAAACCTATATCTTATTCTTATACTTAAAGGTAACATTAAACCCCTAAGATAACCAACAGACTATAGAAGTTGGTAAGACTAAATCAAAAGTGCATTCTGGTCCAGTGGGCAATGGCTATATTTTATAGATGAGCTCACCATCTATTTTTTAGCTTTCCAAAAAGGAAGTATGTTTCCCATTAAACTCAGAAATTAATTCTAAGTACTCTCTACAAACCTGTAATAAAAAACCCTGGACTCCACACAGCACAGATGTTGCTAAATTATTTATTCAAGTACCAATACTATTTTGTTGTTGTAAATCCTGATGTTCTGAAACAGTAGAATGTTTGGTCATTCCTTGTGTTTCACCAGAAATGAGCTCTCAGCTTTTTTTTCTATTATTTATTTCTCATTTGAACATGAACTTGACTTTATTGCCATGAAAAGAAAATGGATTTGTGCTAATTATACATGATAAAAACATGGGATTCAATTATCCTAATTTTCAGTTCATGAAAAAATACTGCTTGGTATGCTGATGCAAACTTACATGATGATTGTTTTATTTTGGTCATCTGGGAAGTTTAAAGGTGTATATAGATGCACAGAATTCAGACCTCTGCTAGTGAATTGATTCTCCTTGTTTTATTAATGACCAGATAGGCATATTGACTTGTGTACAGCCACATAACACATCAGTAACAAAGACAGAAATAAAAGCTAGGTCTTCTAAAGTCACGTTGAATGATGTATACATTGAGAAACACCACTTTCCTTGCCGATGCTGGCTGTCACACCCATAACCATATTAAAAGTGGGATCTCCACACTCTGGCACTCTTTGAACTTAAGAAGTCCCAAATCATAGAGTTTGCTGGACCAAGGCAGGTCAAGAATCCCTTCCTGGATGATGGCCCTGCTCCTGGGTGCCAGCCCCAAACACTGGGCTCTGCTCTCAGCCCCACATGGAGCTGCATCCCACACAGTGCTGATACTGCTCCAGGCTACACATTTGGTTGTCAGCCTGGTCTGCACTCCCCACCTTCCAGCCCCAGCCAGGGCTGTGCTCCCACCCTCACTGGCCTTGCTGATGCCCGGACTGCATTCTCCACCACTGCACTGCCTAGCACCAAACCTTGCCAGCCAGGGCTCTTTGTTCCAGCAATATCCATGGTCCTGCTGGAACACTGATGTTGCAAGGACAGAGAGTCCTGGATTTTAGAGGTTTTAGACTACTTTTTAAGATGACTTTGCTCCAACAAAGTACATCCTGCAGAAAGGTCTATCCAGGTCTAGCCTGGTCTTGCCTCAGCTCATAGGACTGGACTTGATGATCACTTGATATCCCTTGCAGTCCTACATATATGTGATTCTAGATGAGAACAGAGAACGTGTGTCCTCTATACAGCTAGACTTCGCAGAATTAGATTTTCACTTTTTGAAATTTTGACAGATGATAGCTGTTTATTTTAAAAGGTGGGTTTATTTGTCTCTGTTTACATTTTCACCTTGGGTGTGTCTAGACTACAAGGTCTTTATGAAAAAAGTGGCCTTTTTTCAAAAAATCTTCCCCTGCATCTAGACTGCTGCCGTGTTCTTTCGAAAGTAAATCGAAAGAACGCAGCAGTTTTTTCGACTGCAGAAAACCTCGTTTTATGAGGAAGAACGCCTTTTTTGAAAGTGCTCTTTCTAAAAAAGGTGCTATGTAATGCAAACTGTGTTTTTTCGAAAGAGAGCATCCAGACTGCCTGCATGCTCTCTTTTGAAAAAGCGGCTTGATTTTTTAAAAGTACTGGTTGTAGCCTAGATGCTCTTTTTCGAAAGATGCTTGCAGTCTAGACGTAGCCCTTGACAGGAAATCCTGAGCAGGTTAAAACAATTATTTAACAACAGTTGACATTCACAATGTTAAATACAAATTGCATACCTCAAATCTAAATATTTTAAACAATTATTTTTAACTCAACTCCAATAAGTTCTCACGCAACACTTTTCTTATTTTACCTATCAGTTGTTTTCTATCATCATCAATTGAAACTTTTTTTTTTCCATTTGTGTGTGGACTGTGAAATCAGGATTTACTAACATTTACTGATAAAAATCTAACCTTTCCAAGCATATATATAACAGACTGCAGTGACTGTCATGGAGGAAAATGTCTACTGCTCCTATGAATAGACAAAATTCTTCTGCATATACCTTAACTTTCATTTAAATATAGGCTACTCAGTATATTTCCATTGCTTGAAATCAGATTTAAATGCTGAAATTGAATACAAGAGTCCATGGGATATATTCACTAGGATTGGCAGGAAAACAAGAATTTCATTTCATGAAAAATTTCAGTGAAAGCCCTGACCTCAGAATAGCCACTCACTTAGTGGTCAGTGCAATCATGTAGGATAGGGGAAAAGTAGATTCAGAGCCAGACTGCTGCCCTCTCTCTCTTTCTCTTTCTCTTTCTCTCTTTCTCTCCCTCACACACACATACACACCAGGAAAATTCTCTGCTATGACTTAAATGAAAAGATTGCTAGTCAAATGCTTCCTTCTTTGTCTCTGAAGCAATTTAAATGTACTGTAAGACGTCAACATTTCAAAACAGGGCACCAGCTTTTTTTCCTCTTCAAACAAACAATAAAAAAGACAGCTAAAAGAGACAGGATTCATTGTGTTCTAATTAGGTTTCATTTAGAGAGTTGCTCCACCAACCACACGGTTTTCACGGTTTTCACAAAATGGTATTCAATACTCTGTATCATCAGCTGTCCCACAGATTACTTTCTGAACAGCAGGTTGATTAATTTTCTCCAGAAGGATGGTCTTTCTTTTTCACTCTTCAGAACAAAGATCTAGCCCTTGGAGCAGTACCAAGTGCTATAGTATCAGGAACATAGAGACCTCAAGGAGAGGCATATGATCAGTCCACAGACTTTATTCCATATCTCCTCCCAGATTGCAGCTATTGAGAACAAATGATAAAGCTTTAAAAGTCAGTTTCTTTCTTCCTCTGTCCACAGCCTCCCTACTGTCCCTAGAGTCCTTGTTCTATTCCTCATCTATAGATCCTTGTGTTTCCAATAACAGGAAGCCTGACACTCAATGTGCATTGATACTTAATGTGATATAGCAATTGTCTTCAGTAACAGTGTGCTCTAGATGGGCCACCCAGTGTTTAATTCAGGAGCTTTGGAATTCTTAAATACAGGGACTGAAGACCTTGTACATCTTTTACACTGGAGCAAATTGGAAGTAAATTCTATTGAAGCAACTGGAGGCAGATTGGAGTAAAATCTCCAATAAATGAAATCAGAATCAAACCCCAAGAATTTAGTATTTGGTTTCTTAAAACTACATCAATTTATCAAGCATAATACTGTCTTTAAAAGGTCCCTCCTTTCGTACTGGGAATTATCTACATGTTCCTTCTTTTCTTTTTAAACAAATTCTGTCCTGTCATGGCAAAGGGAAGTTGGCTCCCACATCCTCTGGGTCACTGATGTTCTTTAGGTGCCCAGCAAAGATAAAACATCATGGAAGTAAAAATTCTACCAGCAAAGAAAAACATAGCTCATACTGTTAACAGACATTTGAAAAAAAAAAACCTATTAAATCAAACTCTGTTCAAAAGAGACCTGGCATCTCTTTCTGGCACCCTATTCCATCTTTCTCTGAACAGGTTTGCAGGACAGAGATGTATTCATGGAACCCGAGGATTGTAACTTGCTTGTCTT